ACGTTGCGACCTTTTCAGCTACTGGACCGCTCAATATCCATCCGAAGGTCGTGTTTTGGGCGAGCAATGTTCCACTTACATTATGTTGCAATCCTTCAGTAAGAATTTCCGGGATGATATCGCTGCCTATTACCACATCGATTTTAGATGGTGTCAAACAATGAGGGTCAGCCAGTGTTAAATCCGCCAATTCTCCGAGATCGATACTTGATACTTTGGCTGTGGGCAAGAAGTGAGTGAGTTTTGGCAGTATTATTGCTTGTGCGTCTACTTTTAGGGTTAAATCTGATGAACAAAATGTTATTTACAGATCTCATTTGAGTTTCTTACCACCATCCCACCCATTCCGGATATTTCGTGTAAAGACTTTCTTGTGGATAGGCCAAGGAGCTTTTGTATACGGGATGATACAAAAATTTTTTGGGAAGCTTGGTCTATTAGGGCGCGAATTTTATGGAATTCGCCAGCAAAGTATATGGGGACTATTGCTGTTGGTAGTAGGGTTGTTCCTTTGTCACTCGAAAAGTGAGTGGAAACCTTGTTTGTGTCCTGTGCGGGACTTGCGGCTGACAACGCCCTTGCGGCGGCTTTCGATGATGAGGGCCGCTCGCTCTCCGTTCTGCTAAGGGCTGCGTATGAAGTAAAGAGTGATGCCTCTTTTGGCAATAGACGCACGTGAAACTGCTCTGACACTCATTCTTGAGATGTGAAAAGGAAAGGCAATTTTCGCAATAATTGTTTTCTCTCACGAATTTTAGGTGGTCTGATACCGAAAGATTTTTAAACCTGACGCAAGATTTCATCGCGTGGTTTTGATTACATAATCTACAAGAGACGGTTTTGTTGAACTCCACATGATATGCATGAGCTCTATTTTTATTGAGGGGGGTCAAGTTGTGATTCACCGTTCTTGGTGTAAAACTCGAAATATGGGGTTTTGCCTTGCCTGGTCTATAGGTACTTAACCTTTCTACTACCTCGTATCTGCTAGCCAGAAATTTATTCATATCTGCCGAAAGCGGTAGTTCCTTCCGGGAGCTGAGGGACTGTTCCCATAGCGAA